ATTTACAATGTTATATTAGTTTCAGATGTGCAAAATACTGATTCAAAATTTTTATAGATTATATACCATTTAAAGTTATTACAAAATGTTGGCTATATTCCCTATGTTGTACAATATATCCTTGTAGCTTATTTATTTTATACGTACTAGTTAGTACCTCTTAATCCCCTACCCCTACTGCATAGCTTCTTTTGTCCCTCATTTCCAACATTGCTCTTTTTTTTTTAATTTGGGGGGGGTGGTTAATTAGGTTTATTTACTCATTTATTTTAATGGAGGTACTGGGGATTGAACCCAGGACCTCATGCATGCTAAGCACACGTTCTACCACTGAGCTGTACCCTCCCACCCCCAACATTGCTCTTTTGTGTTTAGCTGGTTTTTTGTAGTGAAATGTTTTAATTCCCCTCTCATTTCCTTTCATGTATATTCTATAACTATTTCCTTTGTAGTTACATTTAACAGCTTAAGTTACACTTAGCATCCTAAAGTTACAACACTCTAATTTGAATTTATACCAGGTTACCTTCAGTAACGTACCAAAGCTGTTCTGTTCCAGCTCTGTCCCACCTCTTTCAGTTATTGATGTCATAAAATTACATTTTAACATATTGTGTGTCTAAAAAATAAACTAATAATTGTTTTTGTAATGCATTAGTCTCTTAAATTATTGAGGAACAAAATGTGAATTTACAAGCCAGAGTTATGATAAGACTAGCTTTTAGACTAATTTTTTAATGTATTAATCTGTTAAATCATTGAGAAAATGAAGTGTGGGGTTACAAACCTTTTTCACAATACTACTAGCTTTTATAATTGCCCATGTTTTTAGCTTTACTGAGGTCTTTATTTCTTCCTCTGGCTTTGAGTTACTGTCCAGTGTCCTTTCATTTCACCCTGCAGGACTCGCTTGAGCATTTCCTCCAGGGCAGGTCTCATATTGCACGGTTAGGGTCAAGGTTCATTTTTTTGCTTATGGACATCCTCTTCTTCTAGCATCATTTATTGAACTGCCTTTTCCCCACTGCACTGCCTTGGCACCTTTGTCAGAAATCAGCTGACCATCTATTTAGGGGGTCTTTTTGTCACCTCACTTCTGTGCCACTGATTTACATGTCTGTTCTTTCCCCAGTACCAGCCTGTCTTGATTACTGCAGCCGTGTGGTAAATCTTAAAATTCAGTCACGTGAGCCCTCCAGTTCTTCAGAGTTACTCTGGTTAGTAAAATAATGAGGAAAGTAAAATTTCTTTTTGCTCCATATCATTTTTCCATTTAAATTTTAGAATTGGCTTGTCAGTTACTACAGAAAAAAAAGGCCTACTGGGATTTTGATTGGATTGCATTAAATCTATAGGTCGCTTTGGGAAAATTTGACAGCTTAATAATACTGAGTCTTCTGATGCGTGAAGACAGCGTCTCTCTCCGTTATTTTTGGTCTTCTCTGATTTCTGTCAGCAGTGCTTGGTCCTTTGCAGTGTGTGCGTCGTGCGCTTGTAAAGCTTACCCCTCAGTGGTTCATGTTTGTTAATAAAACTCTAAACTGTATTGTCTTTTCAAGTTTCAGTTGTATTATATAGAAATAAGTTGATGTTTGCATTATTGACCCTGTATCCCACAACCTTGCTAATATCACTTAATAGGGTTTTTTTTGCAGATTCTTTATGATTTTCCACGTAGATGACATCTGCAGGTGGAGACATTTTTACTTTTTCCTTTCTAATCTGTTTGCCTTGAATTTCTTTTTTGTGCTTTGTTACAGGAATTTTCTGTTGTTGTACTGCATCTAATCTCGCAGTTTTAACAGACCACTAAACTCTACAGGTTACTAGGGACCTTTTGCTATGAACTTTGTGATATACAATTGTTTAATTCATAATAGCTTTACTTTCCATTAAAATATAACCAGATGATTGAGATGATGAAACTTTTCAGACTTGAAGCATGATGCATCTCTTAATTTTATATAGAATTTTAGAAATAAGTATGTAATTTTAGGTATCATTTTAAATAATACCACATATTTAGGAATGATACCAGAATTTTCATGATAGTGAAAAGAATTTATCGTTCATGAAATATCGAACCAGTGACCTCAGCTATTCAGTTATGATAAAAGGCCCAATCTGTCCTTTTATTGGATGTGATATTTATTAAAAATGAAACTTCATTTCTATTACTTAATCAATAGCACATTAAGCCGTTTATTAATATGATGAAAGAAGGTATCGCAGACCAGATATTCTCCTCCCTTGTCGTTTTACCAACCAGGAAACAGCGATCTAACCTGAAGTCGGTCAAGTCTGTCTGATCCTGCACTTGTAATTTTTATGAGATGCTGATAAGAACAATTAAAACTTGCAGCAAGAGAATGATTTGTAATGGCTGTTTAGCCCATCATATAAGTAAACCTATCTGGAGAAGATATATTTAATTTGCCATTAGCTAACTATTATTTATTCACTTAAAACAACAAGGTTTGGCGCAGGTGGCATATTGGTAAGTGTGGCAAGCAGCGCATTGCGTAATTGACGTAGGCGGGGAAGGAAGCCACTGGTGGGAATGTTCCTCTACGGAGCCTTGTGTTTTTATTGAAGTAGAGTAGACGTGTAGGAAAGTGCACGCCACAAGCGTGCAGCCCGGTGTATTTTCACAAACATGGGCCATTTCGTGAATGAATGTTCCTGTCATCCCCACACCAGCGTGAATACCGAAATCCGTGCTGTCAAAGGGACGTCAAAATTGAATTGCGATGATAAGGGCAGCTACAGTGGTTACATTCCTCCTGCGTGCAGGGCATTGTTAAATGCTCGTATGCGTATTATCTCATTTACTCTTCAGAGTAAGTGTGAGACAGCTTTGTTGTCTACAAATGAGAAAACCAAGAAGAGGGTTTAGAGGAGCTGCAGCGAGCTGGTTCTGCCATGTGTGGGGGGTCACTGTGCGAGGCATCTTAGAGTCCCCGTCTCATTTCATCCCCTCGCCGGCTCTGAGTGTGGCTGCCATCCCCGTTAGCAGGTGAGAAAGCCGGGGGTTGGGAAGCTCACTTGCCCAAAGCCTGCGTTCTTAACCGCTACACCTGAAGGCTGGTATATCACTGCAGAGTAAATCACACAGATGGCCAGAGGAGAGAAAGGAGGAAGGCGATCATCTCTAGATGGTTCGAGAGTGTGATTCTCCAGGGCTGCACCAGAGAGAAGATGGAGAAAAAGATTAGTGCTGGCGTGGGGCAGTAGTCTGCCTCATTTTTTGGAGGCCAAAGGATGCACAGTCAACAAGATCCTTGACCGTCTTCCAATGAAGTAGTTAACGGAAACCCTCCAGAAGCTGCTGGCTTAGAACCCCTGCGCCCCTGCCTAACGAGCCCCGCGGGTCTGTGTCTGGGCGGAGGGGCAGCGAGCAGCCCAGGTCTGGCGGAGCTTTCTCCTCACAGAACCATGTGGAGTTAGGGCTGGAAAGGCCCTTAGAGGTCATCACTCAACCACCCTGTCCTCCAACAGGGAAAGGGCCCGAGAGGGCGGCCGGCCTCCCCTTCCAGGCACGTGTGACTCACACGCGTAACATTCCAGTAACGGCTGTTGTCTTCCTCTTGGAGTTCTTCGGAATTCCTTGAAAATCTCTAGTAAGCTTGTGCAGATTTCTTGGTTTTCTGGTTTCTGCGTAACTTAGTCCCATATTAAATACTTACATTTCATGCCAAAATTATGACTAAAGCACAGTGAAGTTTTGCCTTTTTTCATTGGTAAAAGCACTCATTACTCCTGGAACTGGAGGATATTGAAAAGTTGTGGAAATTATAGAAAAATACAGTTGAACATTTTCCCTTGTAACCGTAACCCCTTAACTCATCATGTCCCCAGGACCTCGCCTTGGGTATCCGTGTTCCCAGACCTAGTCCCAGAGCACTGTCCGTCCCCTGGCCTCGGGGACCTGGTCCCCTTCCTCTACCCAGATGGCTGGCGTGTCAGTACCCTCTGGCATGTTGTCAGTGACCCGGAATTTGCCTCTGTTGTCAAAATGGTGGAGTTGCCTCCCCAAAATAAAATATTCTCTACCTGACAAGTCATCCGGCCAGGGCTGCCCACTGGGCATCACCTCTGATGGACCAGAATGGGCCCTGAGGTTGATACAAAATCAGACATAGCACTTCCCCAAGACATACCTGAGGACCCAGCCAGATAGATGGTGCGCTGTCCCAGGGCCTCTGAACAAGTCTCTTTCTGCGAACCTCTTGGTGGCTGTGAGGCAGGCGCAGTGGAAAGTGGGTTTCTGTCACACCCGTCCTTCCTCCCTCCTGGGAGGTTAACACACACCCAGTGCCCATTTCACTCTGTGTCGACTGCTCTTTCTATGGTGCATTTCTCCCCTCAAACTGACCACTGATAAGAATCGGAGAGTTGCAAGTGTTGGGTGGGCCTTTGGGTGCTAGGGGTGGGGAGGCTTTTGTTTTTACTAAGAGGTGGTAAAGCATCTTTGCTTGCTTTATGTGCTACCTTTTAGAATTAGAGGATGAATAGAAATGTGTGTTGATTTTACAGTTTATGTCTGATTTTTAAGGATGAATATTCATGGAGTTTCCTTTGTCAGAAAATTGAGTAAATGTGTGGCATTTCTGTCTAATAGTATATAGCTTTTTTTTCCTTTCTGAACAAATACCTTGGCAGATTTACTTTAAATAACTTAGGTCACAGAGTAAGCAGGTCTCTGTGCCGGTTTTCAGAGCACCGTGAACCAGTAGGGGGACACCAGCTTTTGTTCCGTCTGATGGCAGTCCTTCCCAGCAAAACACGGCTGCTACTGATGTACAAAATTGATCACTTTATCAACTGTGAGGAAAAAAGAAGCCTTACTGAAGTAATAAAGCGTAACTTCATTGTGTCCTGTGTGTAGGGAGCAAACATGCTGGAATGTGGCTGACAGCTTCCCATTTCAGGGCTGATTCTGATCATGGTAATATGTAAGTAGCACTGGTTGTTCTCTAACTGGGTTTTTCTTTCTGCAGGCCTCTTCTGAAGAGCTGAAAGCTGCCTACCGGAGGCTGTGTATGCTGTACCATCCCGACAAGCACAGAGACCCGGAGCTCAAATTGCAGGCAGAGCGGCTGTTTAACCTTGTTCACCAGGCTTATGAAGGTCAGTGGAGGGCTTGGCTCTATAGAAAGACCCTGGCAGCAGATGCTCGATTTTTAAGAGACTTGATTTGTAGAGGAAAGAAAAAGAGGGTCCTGAGAGGTGTATAAAAGAGCTGGTTAGCTTAGTGCTTCTTACTGACAGGGCGCTCTGAAAGAGGAGTGCTTTGCTTTGGAAATCACTATGTGTCCAGCAAGTAGAAAATGAGAGAGGAGGTAAAGTACTAGACCAGGGTCTGAATTGCAGGGGAACACTCCAGTTTTAAATCGGTTACTAGTTTTCTTCTAAAGGGAACTCTTTGAAGTAAAAGGCCAATCGCTACAGACGAGCTTTCTTTGTTCTTTTCTTGTGAGAAGATACAAAGAACATTTTTTCATCTAAAAGTGATTTTATTGGTTCTGTGGCATTCGGTTAAGGAAAAGATTCTAACAAAAGAAAGACAATGGTGGTAAGAAGCCTAATAGGAAATAGAATCAAGTAATTCAGATTTTTATACTTACATCTTTCAAATTTCAGAAAGAAAATTTGCGATGTATTTGTATAAAATATTAAAGTCACTAATAGGTGCGGAGTTTCTCTTGGAGATGATGAAAAAGTTCCGGAAATAGTGGTGATAAAACAATAGATGCAACACAGTGAATGAACTTAACGCCACTAATTTGTACGCTTAAACGTGGTTAAAATGATCAATTTTATGTTGTGTGTATTTTACCACGATTTTAAAAATTAAAATTAAAAAAAATAAGTCACTCTTAGGATATATACAAAATAAAGTAAGTTATTCATTCCCGAACCATTTAGTGATTTGCTCCTTAATTAGACCAAAAATTAGATTTTCTTTACAAAATAAAGACTTCTTTATGTAAACATAAAAGCATATGCTGTATTTCACTATAGTTTAACCAAAAAGTTAGATTTTAGTGACCAGTAAAACAGACTGTGGCAGGTGATATGTATGGACAGTCGGCACTGTGTCTTCACTAAATGTGACTACTTACATTGTCTGAATAAAGCTTGACCAAAAGCTTGTTCCTTTATTGTATTCGGTTGTCTGAGCTACCCACATGGCTGGTGTGTATTGTTTTGGAGATCTGGGGAAGGGTTAACAGGAACACCCTATCAGTGCCTGTGAAAATGCCGCAGCAGCAGACCTGGCCCCAGTGGTTAGCCTAAGGGAGACTGAGATGGTGAATAAATAATTCCTTATTAAATCCTAGAGAGAACTCAAGAAGTTTGGCTCCCAAGTTTTCCAGTGGTCAGCATTTCTTTCTTCCCCATTAGATTTGAATATGGATAGAGTCACATCATTTTTTAATTAGGTTTAAAAATATATGAGATGTCTCAGAAGAGAAAAGATTCAAAGGTCTTGAACAGAAACTGGCCCAGCAGAGGAGGAGGATAAAGCCTGCTAGCTTTACAGATATTCAACTTCGGTTTGGATATCCTTTGAAAGCTCTCGCCCTTATTGAAAAGTCTTTTTCTGAGGTGCGTTAGGTGATACGGCCAGCACCATAGTGGCAGGTGTTTGTGTCTTTTAACATGATTTACAAATAAAGAAGAGAGGTGAAAAAAAAAGAGAGAAAGCCTGCCCAGGCTGTTACAGGAGTTAGTGCAACTCTATACAGTAAATAATAAGTCAGATTTTTCTAGTCAGAGCCTGTCTCTAGTTTTATGTTAGGCTTCTTTCGAAAACTGTGATTAACTCTCTCAAGCCAAGGTACTTTTTAGACTGCAGTGAAAAATAACTAAGTTTTTTAAAAACGATTGTCTTTAGTGATGGAGGGTCAGTGCAGCTTCCTACAAGGTGCACCTCACAACGAAGAGCAGCTTGGACATGAAAAATCCAACATTTCTCATTTGTAGTCACCTTTAAGCACGTGCTAGATTGGATCTGAAGAGCAGATGAGAGGAAAGATGCGTAGGGAATGAGAGGGTCTCTAGGAAGAGTGTGGTCGGACGGAGAAGAACAGAAGGAGGTGGGCTTGCCCACTGGTGCTGTGTCAGGGCTGAAAGGTGAGTTTTGTGCTTCGTAAACATGTTTGATTTTTCGTTTGCAGTGCTCAGTGACCCCCAGACCAGGGCCATCTATGACATCTATGGCAAGAGAGGACTGGAAATGGAAGGGTGGGAGGTAAGAGAAACTGTGCGTCTGGTGTCCCGGTCAAGTCCTTAAACGGCCTCAAAACAACAACCCCCAAATTCCGCATCCTGTGATAATGCTTTCGAGACTATTTGAAGAGATCAGAGTCCCCTTCTTACTTACATTTTTGGTTTAAGGGATTGAGTTCTCCACTTAGCTTTGTCTGTGAACTTGGAACAGTCAGTCATCCAGCTTGTCCGTTTCCTAACCTCTGTCAAGTGAATAGTAAGAGAGATGGACTAGACCTGTAATTTCTACCCTCGGGGAGGGAGCGGGCCAGTCAGGGGGTGACGGAGGATGGCTTCTGCAAGGGTACAGTTCCGTCTGCACACAGACCTCCTTCTACCCTCCAGGGTTCTGAGCCTCACTCCCCACCCACGGTCATAACTGCACTCAGGGAGTGTTCATTAGTACTGGATTGTGCATGTAAACAAAATGGAAGCCGAAAAGTTGAGAACTGCTGGATTAAAACTGTCTGCAATGACCCTTCTGTCTCTAATGCGCTATAATATTAGAACGTTATCAATACAGTGAGCAAAACGAAATAGATAGCAAGTACCTGTGAAATAGGCTGCCCTGGGCTCCCGTACCATGCAAGGACAAGCGCTGAAATTCAGAAGGTGCCGTTTCTTTCACTCTGCCGCTGAGTAGTCCTAGAGCCTTGGGCAAGTCGTTTGCTTTGTGCTTCCATGTTATCTGAAAAATGACATGTGGATCAAGTAGAAAAATTAATATGAAAATTAGTTGTAAAATTCTTTATTGCTATGAGAACGTATAGGTGTTGTTGCTTAATTTCATTAAAGAAACTTGGCTCTGGTGCCCAAGAAATGTTGGCAGGCTATTAACATTAAATTAACTCTCATTGAGTTATTTTTTCCTCATCCTGTAAGATTCCCCGTGAAGCTCTTTTGGTATTTGATCTCCAGCCTGTATGCCTGTCTCTTCTAATTCTAGTATGAAAACCTTCTAGAGGCCTTTGGGTACGGACTGCAAGGGGAGTGAAGTGGGCTTCTCTTCCCCTTTTCACCACTGCTTAGCATCGGTGACTGTGGGCCGTTTTCAGCCTGCAGCCTTGTTCTGGTTGCCCGCACAATGCACTGTAGTTTGCTGACATTTAAAACTTGGGAGGTTTTGCATGCAGATCCAGTCTTTTATCTCCTCTGGAAAAATCAGAATATCTGGTAACTCTGTACCTGTGTTCTCCTCTGAGGCAACGATCTGAGGTGCCCCTGCGGTTGGCTGGACGTGCTGTGCAGTTTTCCCCACCCCTGCCACTCCCTCTAGTGTCACCGTCGGCCCTCCACCCATCTGTTTGTCCTCTTGCTTCCAGTGGGCATTTGGTTTCTGGCCTTCGGCTCAATGAAAACAGCAGTGCGTCACGTCACATTAGTTCATTGCAGCAAAGCATTAGGTCTAATAGCTTAGGATTTTTTCCATCAAAAAAGGAAAACAGAATCTTGTTGTTTGTTTTAAATTTCTCCTCATACCTTATACCCCACAGTAAAACTCTCGTTTTTTGAAAACGTGGGTTGGCTACAGTTTTCATGGCAGCAGTCAGGGCCACTGAAAAGCTGTAGGCCTCTGTTACATATCCCCACCTCAGAGTCTGGGTTTTTCATTCCCAGCAGTATTCTCCCAACTCAGTGGAGCAGTGGGGTAGCCTCTTCCTGGCAAAATATTGCATGGTTTCCTATGACAAACCAAATTATCTCCCCACTGGAAAGAAAGAAAAGCCACACACACAGTAGTGATTATAAAAGTGTGTAGGCAATCCCAGATGGTGAATGGATAAGCGTTCATATTCATAGTTTTTAGTAAACTATTCGAAGCTAATCAGGCTCTCACCCGTCAGAGCTGGCTTTTCTTTCAGTGATACCAAGACTTCACTGACGATAACAACGCCTCGAAGGCGGACTGCGCGAAGGTCCCTCCACTGATCCTTACTCGGAGACGTGTCGGAGCCTGACGGACAACAGCCCGTTGTTCCTCCTGTGAAGGAAGGGTCTCGCTGAAGTCGAGAGCCTTTGATGGCTCTGACACCAGCATTCCCTCAAGGAGTTCCTGCCGCTGGTGGCTTGTTCCACATGAGGATTCTCTTTTCAGTCATGGCGTCCACCCCAGGGAGGACGCCGTGCTCCCTTCATCCTATTGCTCTGCTGCTAGTATTTGTAGACTATTCAACTTTTCCAGTTGTCAACTGGTATCCATTTGCCACGTATCTGTTAGTCTCAACATACCTGTAGTCAGTGAGGGGTGATGGACACAGTTAAAACACCTAGTGTCTAGGACGCCTTTAATCCAAAGATGTCAAAGCAGCCCCAGACGTGGCGGTCACTCCCTGTCGCAGCAGTGACATCATCCCCTTTCTCCTGGTGGATGCTGGGGATGAAATTGAGCTTTCGTAGGCTGCATTAAATATTGGCCTTGTTTTCAGTCATTAGGTAGGTTTTTGGTCTTTGTTTTTTTTCTTTTTCCTTTTTTTTTTAACCTTTAAGAGACTTTGTCATTCTCTGGCAGGATTCCCAAGGAACAAGACACAACCATTCCCAAAATGGCTGGTAACACCAGCCATTTTCGTTCTCCAAGCTGGTTAGCGGTGTTTGCGCAGATACCCGTCATGAAAGTGAAATTGCTCCCTCCTTCAGAATGACAAAAAGCCCGCTTTGAGCTGTGACTGCTTTGACAGTATTGAATCTGGTAAC